TTTATCGCTGTGAAACTCAGCGAGCTCAGAAAGCTGTTGCTTCTTCTGGTCCATCTTCAGTTCATCTATAAAGGTAAAACAAAAACATCCTCACAGACTGTTAAAAACCAGTTATTTCCTATCATATCGTGTAATATTTTTTATGTTATGTTGTTTCATCTTGAATCTTTCTTTTGGATGTGGACTTCTTTAATCTTATTTATTACTATTACTAGTCAAGTTTGAAGAAAACGATAGAGCAAGAGAGACACACCATTTATAGCAAAGATTTGAGTTATGTCTCAATCAAACATTCAATTATCAAACGAAATATATACATCTGGTAATAAAAACTTTGTAGGGATACAAGATTTATGTTCTGTCACAAAATCCCAACCTGTGCAGCTTATTTATTCTCCCTCTCTTTTCTTCTTCAAGCTTCTTCATGAACCATCATTATTCATATTCTATAGTAGTAATTTTTTTGGAATTATTGATAGTCGACTAATTTTATAAATTTTGAAACTTGGAGAAAGAACAAAGAATAGAAGATTATTTACTTCTGTCATTCCACATGTTTTTGTCGGTAACACAAAAAAAAATTATGCTATTTCACATTTAAGTATGTCACAATTTCACTATTTTGCGGTATGATCGATCAAAGATTTTTTTAACTTTTGGGAAATTATTTTATTTGCATTATTTAGTTTATAACGAAAAGACGTCTCAAAGATCCACAAAGGACCCATACCTCTCTGAAATTTGAAACCCCACACGTCCAAACCAAAACACAGTCTCGATCTTGAACACTTTTCTTGTTAATTACCTAACTATCCTTAATCCCTCTCGCTCTTGTGTGCTCAGTGACCGAGTGACAGGGCTAGTTTGGGTATCTTCAGAGTTTCATTTGAGGAACTTAGATTCAAGAGACTAAAGAAGACAAGTTTTTTGATATGTGTATATGAGTTATATTGAAGAGGGTTCCTTAAAGTAGTGCTATTGTTGATTTCTTGAGGAAGAAGAAACTCTTTGTCAAATGTCCGCAAAGAAGAAGGAGCTTGTGTCCTCTGCCATGAAGAGAACTAGTGAATGGTTTCTCACTCTGTTTCTTTCTCGTTCGTTTTTTCGTATTTTCGATTCCTCTGTTTGTGATTACGAAATCAAGTTGATTCATATCCGTCTTCGGTTATAAAATGTGAAACTCGTTTCAGGATTTCTTCTCAAGAAATTCCTAGTGACGTCTCTGTTCATATAAGAGAAACTTCGTTTTCACTCCACAAGGTGGTTCTTTTGTCTTAGATCTATTTTATATACAGTGAGTTCACTTTTTCCTTATAACAGAGTCTCTTTGTCATATAATCTGCAGTTTCCACTTGTGTCAAAATGTGGGTTTATAAAGAAACTTGCTTCCGAATCAAGCAACAATTCGAACGTTACCGTTATCAAATTCCCAGATTTTCCCGGAGGTGCAGAAGCATTTGAGCTAGCAATCAAGTTCTGCTACGACATAAACTTCGAGTTGAACAAAGAGAACATTGCGATGCTTAGATGTGCAGCAGAGTATCTAGAGATGACTGAGGAACACTCTGTTGGAAACCTCGTCGAGACGACAGAGATTTACTTAAACGAAGTGATCCTCAAGAGCTTATCGAATTCGGTCAAAGTTCTGCGAAAATGTGAGGATTTGTTGCCTATAGCTGAGAGAGTGAAGCTCGTGAGCCGGTGTATAGATTCAATTGCTTACATAACTTGTCAAGAGAGCCACATTAAGCAGGCTATAGTTGACTGGTGGGCAGAGGATTTAGTTGTTTTAAGGACTGATATGTTTCGACGGGTCTTGAATGCGATGATGGCTAGAGGGTTTAAGCGATACGCGCTTGGTCCAGTTCTTATGCTCTATGCTCAAAAACCTCTTAGAGAGTTGGTGAGATTCTTGATTTTGTTACAGAACAATGTGTCTTCTTTACTATAACTTTCAGAGAAAGATTCATGACATTTCGGTTTCTTTGTGGGAAAATGCAGGAGATTTTTAGGAAAGGGACGAAGAAGATGGAGGTGGAACAAGAACACGAGAAAAGGGTGATTCTTGAAACGATTGTAAGTCTTCTTCCGAGGGAGAGAAACGCAATGCCAGTGAGCTTTCTTTCGATGCTTTTAAGAGCTGCGATATACCTCGAAACAACGGTAGCTTGTAGGCTTGATTTGGAGAAGAGAATGGGATTACAGTTAAGACAAGCCGTGCTTGATGACCTCTTGATGTTTGATGTTGACACTTTTCAACGGATCCTCATGAACTATCTTGAGTTTGAAGTTGAAGGAAACTCTGTTGATTTTGCCAGTGATATCGGTGAATTGATGGAGACTTATCTGGCTGAAATCGCTTCTGATAAAAACATAAGTTCTGCGAAATTCATCGGTTTAGCTGAATGCATTCCTGAACAGTCTAGGATTACTGAAGATGGGATCTATCGAGCTATCGACATCTATCTCAAGGTATTATTAGGTTTAAAACGTTTATATTTTGCGAGAAGACTTTTATGATTTAACAAGATTTGTGAAATCTTGTTGGTGTAGGCGCATCCGAATATAAGTGAAGTGGAGAAGAAGAAAGTTTGCAGCTTAATGGATTGCCAAAAGCTATCGCAAGAAGCCAGTGCTCACGCAGCTCAAAATGATCGTCTTCATGTACAAACCATAGTTCAAGTTCTTCACTACGAGCAACAAAGTCTTCGCCAAATTTTAAGCGATTCAGATTCCCCAGCAGCCGCAACCACATCAGAAATTCTTCCTCCTCCTAAGTTCACCTACTACAACGACGAGCTCTCTCAATTAAACCGTGAGAATCAAGACTTGAAGCTAGAGTTGCTCAAAGTGAAAATGAAGTTGAAGGAGTTTGAGAAGGAGAAAGCTTTTGAAGTCATGAGTAGTTCGGATTACTCTCTGGTTTCTACTGCTTCGGTAGTTAAGCCTCCGAGAAAGTCATTTATAAGCTCTGTTTCTCGAAAACTCGGAAAGCTTTACCCTTTTGGCATGTCACAAGGACGAACCAAACCATCAAAAGGCCGAAGACATTCTATATCTTAGAAACAATCCATAAACACTTGTTCTTGTTGAGGATTTTGAACTTGTGGTTTGAAAAGATTTTCTCTGTATCAAATATCAATATATGATTGTATATAGAGCTCATCGAGCATTTCTCAAGGTTCCAAAGAAGATGATTATGGATGTCAAAATTCACACCAAGGATATTTCAGTGTTTAAGATGATCAATAAAAAAGATGGAAACTCAAATCTTCGTTTGTAATGAACAAGGATCAATAAGAATAAAAAAATGAATAGCATAATGTTTTATTGGTTCAAGATGGTGTAATTGGTTCGATCATTATTACCATATACAATTTCTTGAATTTTTTTTACCAAACATTCATTTTTTCTTATGGTAACATGTTAAGATTATATTATCGATTTTCAATTTGTGACAAAAGTTACATAGACAACTTATAAAACAGAAATACCAAAATTTACTGACAAAAGCAAAATACAACGGAAATAAAAAACATTTAAGAGTCGAATTAGTTTGGCACACGCTTGATTAAGCATACTGAAAAGATCTCCGACAAAGAAACACCAATTCCAAACACCTAAGCTAAGACATTTGCTTTGTTGACATCTAGCACTTAGTTTATTTGTTTTGAAATAATTTTCGTGTTTTCCATTTAATTATTCAATATTTTATTTGCCATCTGTTGTTGACTTTCTAACAATACATACGAGTCTTTGTTTTCAATTTTTGTAATTTGTCAACAGTCTTTTGTATTCATTTTTGTTTGTTTGTCAACAGTCTTTGTTTTCAATTTGCTACTTTAAATGGCAATCGCGATGAGTCGACAGATTGGTGACAATAAGTGTTTTTTTATCGGCAAAACAATTATTCATTCGTCTCCACTTTTTCTCTTTAGTATTGAACAAAGAGAGAGAAGAACAAAAAAAGCATAGAGTTGGGAAAATCAATTGAGATGCAAAACGACGTCGTGGAAATACTAGCGAAGTATGTCATCGCTACGGTTGCCAACGGATCCAACCTTGTCTTCTCACCAATGTCAATAAACGTTTTGCTCTGTCTTATTGCCGCTGGCTCCAGTTGCGTCACAAAACAACAGATACTCTCATTCCTCATGGTACCTTCATCGGAACACCTCAACGCAGTCTTTGGTCAAGACCGTATCTATTACCCTCGCAAATGGCACCAAGAGAAGTGATATACGCTTCTCTATATACGCTTCTCTGCGGCTAATGGTGTCTGGATCGACAAGTCTTTGTCCTTGAAGCATTCCTATAAAGAGATTTTGGAGAACTTCTACAAGGCTACTTGCAGTCAAGTTGATTTCGCAACCAAGGTAACCCTAATTTGCATTTTTTTAAATGAATGTAAAATTGGTATGAACCTTTTTTATGAATGTTAGAGCATCTCCAATGGTATATACTC